TGAAGATACTAAGGCTCAGAGAGCTACCCAAGGACACCCTTGGTACACTTAACTCTAGTCCTGGAGCTGCAGTTTGAACCCCGATCTGACTCCAAAGCCTGTGCCCTTACCTAGTGTGTATACACTGCTTTTCAAGTCAAATGATCATTTAAAACTTTGTTTTACTGAAGTGATCTTTATTGAGTCTGAATAGTACTTTGATATGAGCTATTCCTAGGCTAACAGTTGAGCAAAGCCCCCTTCATTAAAGCAAATAAAGGCCTCAGTTGAACTAGTTCAGTGGGCCACAGGAACTTGGGTGACTTCAGGCCAGCCCTTTACTCCTTTATGCCTGAACTCCTGCAGTGCGTTTGGGCTGATTGCTGGCAGGAATGTAATAGGCATTTACCTGGAGGTCAGGTTTCTCTGCTCTTAGAGCTTAACCTCACCTTTATTACTGCACTTTATCCATATTAGTCAGAATCTTAGGGAACTGCCCAAATTAATTCTATCCTCAACCTCCTCCCTCGTGACTCGTGTTTTCATCATTCAAGGCTCATATGAGGCACTTCTATTCTCCATGAATACTTTTCCTGATTCCTTTAGCTACATGTAATCTGATCTTGCTTTAGTTTTTATTGGTGCATATTTATTTTGTTACAGCCATTTATCATAAACTTCTCCAAACCCCTCTCCCCTGCCATAGTCATTACCACTTGATTTTAAGCTTCGTGGGCAGGAAATCTTTTATTACATGTAAATCCCTTTAGCTGCTTTTCGCTACAGTGTCATGTATATAGAAGAGGTTCAATAAACTGTGTTGAATAACTTTAATATTTAGTGTAAGTGTAAAATGTAGCTCTAACTGGATTTATATAGTTTTTGTAATCCCTCCGAGAAAGGTAATATACATACTCATTATTGGAAAATGTGGAAAGTAAAAAGAAGAAAAAACAATTACTGGTCCTACCACTCAAAGATCATTACTTAATTAAACAGCATGTAGGAAAAAAATATAGTTAGTGTTTAGAAATTAAGGGACAGTTCTCCACTTGGCAGGCTAACTCAGAGGAAATTATGTTCTCATTTTTTTTAAAAAAGAGTGTTTGTGTAAGGGCTACATGTGACTCTTGACCTCTCCCAGAGGGTGGTATTTCAGTAAAGGCCAGCTCTTATTTTTATAGAGGGGTGAGAAAACCAGGGAGGTAAATAGTAACCTCTTTGAGGTTAGGTCAAAGATATATAGCTTAGGGGCGCCTGGGTGGCTCAGTTGGTTAAGTGACTGCCTTCAGCTCAGGTCATGATCCTGGAGGCCTGGGATCGAGTCCTGCATCGGGCTCCCTGCTCAGCAGGGAGTCTACTTCTCCCTCTGACCCTCCCCCCTCTCATGCTCTCTCTCTATCTCATTCTCTCTCAAATAAATAAATAAAATCTTTTAAAAAAAAGGATATATAGCTTAATTGTCATAAATATTAGATTAACCTTTAAGACCAGAATTCTAGATCTAATCTTATAAATTATAAACAGAAGGAAAAATTCTCTCTTAGCCTAAAGGGCTAGTACAAGTAGGCACACATCAGATAGCTAGACTTTAATTGCTGTTATTTTCTTATTTAAATGTTAAATTATTAGGTGTTATATAACATTTTCTCATACCTAGAAACTAACAGGAGTCTCAGCTTTAACAGAAGCCTTTAATTCTTTTTTTTTTTAAGATTTTATTTATTTATTTGAGAGAGAGAGTGAGAGAGAGAAAGAGCACAAGAGGGGGGAGCGGGAGAGGGAGAAGCAGACTCCCTGCTGAGCAGGTAGCCTGATGCGGGTCTTGATCCTGGGACTCCAGGATCATGACCTGAGCCGAAGGCAGTCGCTTAACCAACTGAGCCACCCAGGAGCCCCAGAAGCCTTTAATTCTATAACACACTAAGGGCCCTGCCCATACTGTCCATAGTTCACAGTAAGTGTGAGCCCGTGATCTGCCTGTTGCTTTCTTCTGTTCAGAAAGCATTGCTAACAGTATTTAGCATTTGGGGAAGATACTGTTGCAGCTCAAAAGGAGTGAAATGACCTTTTCTGTGACTTCACCTTCAGTTTGTGTGGTGAGAAGGTAATTCCTACCCAAGTCTATAAGGTACCCAAGGTCCCCAGGCCACATTGAGCCACATGTTCCACATTAAGTGTTTGGTATTTAAACAGATGAGCTAAAGTTAGAGGAAGAATATTTTATTTTAAAAAGGTTGGCTTTGGGGGCACCTGGGTGGCTTAGTCAGTTAAGCGTCTGACTCTTGGTTTGGGCTCAGGTCATGACCTTGGGGTCGTGAGATCAAGCCCCGCATTGGGCTCTGTGCTTAGTGTGGAGTCTGCTTGGGATTCTTTCCTCCTCCCCTCTCTACTCCTCCTGCTCAGTCTTGCTCACTCTATCTCTCTAAAATAAAATAAATAAAATCTTTAAAAAAAAAAAAAAGTTTGAGTTTCTTTGCCTTCACACTGTCATTTCCTTAACCTCTTTTCAGCATTTTTCACTGCTTTTTTAAGGCAAAGCAACTGCCCAGAATAGTCTGGAATTTACCATCTCTAGATAATGAAGTATTCTGGGCAGTAGGTATGAGGGTGTGTATGTGTATACATTTTAATTTGATTAATTATGAAGTAATTTTGTGTTTACTAAACTAGAAAGGAATAGCTATTTTGTTTGGAATTCTAAAACATAAAATGGACCGTTTATTCCTGCATTGGAGTCCTTATTTGAGTTTTGTTAACTGCCTCAGACAGTTCCATTTCTTTAGCAGAATTTGAGTTTTGCTTATAGGTTCCACTTTCGCACATTTTATTACGGGGTTGAACCTTTCTTCCTTTCCATTCTTTCAGCTTTGTTGCCTCAGCTTTTGAATTAGCTGTTCAGCCTAGAGATCTTGAGTTCTTAATGTAGAGTTGGTCTCTGGAGATTCAGAAGAAGCAGGTTTCATTGTGATTAATGCAGAGTGGTTGCTTTGGGGAAACTTTTTGCAAAGGGAATATATCACTTGCTTGTTAAAGCAGGAAGAACATCACAATCTATATTATTTCACCTCTAGAGAAGTGAAAGGACTGTTAGTCAAAGCAAATTGTACTTTTCTGAATAACTCAGCTGTTGAATTTTTTTTCCAGTAATCCTGCTTTTTGTTCTCTTTGGGATAATTATTTGCAGATACAACATTTCACAGTCCTGAATCACAAGGGAGTGTTCTTAATGCCCAAATTGTTGAGGCTTCAGCAATGTTGATACAAATATGATCTGTTCTATTTGATAGATATTGAGTTTATACTGTGATCTCATTTTTCTTTAGTTATAATGCTTCATGTTGTGATATCTCTAGACAAATAAGGTTGGCTTTGTGAACACTAGATTATAGTATTTGAAGAAGAACCTCTTCATCTGAAAAGAAGTTGGCTGTAGCACTGCAATAAATACCGCATAGCCAGTGCCTCATTAGATGAATACTTGCTGCAGAAAGTGTAAAACCAGATATCTTTATCCCTTCTTATTCAACTGTTGCGATCCAGCCAGATCCTTACTCAGTTTCTCTTCTGGAATTTCACTGCACTATCAAGTACCCATCTTAGTAGATAGGAGATGTTTCACTGACGGAAAAACAATCCCTGTAGAACTGTCTTGCTTCATTAGAGTGTGAGGCTCAATGTAAAATGCCTTGAGATCATCAAAGATGCAAGAAATAAAACTATTACCTTTGGGTACTATTTAATATTAGAAATTCTGCCAGTCTAGTTTTGGATAAAATAAAATTGCCAATTTTTTTTCACTGATACTTATATTAAAATTGAAATTTAGTATTCTCTAGGCATCACTATCTTCTGGAAAATGTTTGCTTTGTAACTAATTGCATGTCAATCTGAAGATGATTGTAGTAGAAGGGCTTAAGAATGGCAGCCTCATGCTCGTGGCTGATAATAGGAGGACAATGCTAGAGAGACACAGGCTTAGTTCAAAGTCTTTTTCAGGGTGAGCCTTTTGCAGCAACATGGTTAGGTGACCATAAGAAATTGGAAAGATGGGATTTTTAAGCTTCCACAGTTTCAGCTTACCAGATCTTTTTTCCTTTGCCTTTTTTTTTTAAACAAGAAGTTTATTTAAACAACAAGACGCTTGACTTGAAGGGAAAACTATCTAGGATTCATTTCTTTTAGAGTCATTTATCCCTACTTAAAGACAGATTGCCCTACATGTAACAGCTAAGCCTTTTTTTTTTTTTAAACAAGATGTTTATTTAAACAATAAGGCGCTTGACTTGAAGGGAAAACTATGTAGGATTCATTACCTTTAGAGTAATTTATCCCTACTTAAAGACAGATTGCCCTACATGTAACAGCTATGTACAAAAAAGTTATAAAATTGTCCTTGGTTTTACAATGATAAATGAAAAACATTAAAATTCTCCAATCGAATGAGGTATGCAAGGATTTTTGTGGTGTTCTTTTTTTGTTAAACAGAGCAAAATAACTTACTAGAATATAAAGATAAGAGCTGAGCATGCCACTAATGGAGAGAGGGGGTATTTTCACAGAAGCAGTATTTTCCCCCATCGCATCTCCATTTGATGTCGATCAAAACATACCATTGGCTATCTAGTTGAAAAAAAATGCAGTATGCTTGTGCACATACACAGTTACTTTATGTACAATAAAGGAATGGGGAAGGGGACAATGAAAGAATAGAGAAAACTATACTGTAGTAGTCAGGATGTGGTGGAACCAAATTGCAGCTTTTTTTTTTTTTTTAAGATTTTATTTATTTATTTGAGACAGAGAGAATGAGAGAGAGAGCACATGAGAGGGGGGAGGGTCAGAGGGAGAAGCAGGCTCCCCGCCGGGCAGGGAGCCCGACGCGGGACTCGATCCCAGGACTCCAGGATCAGGACCTGAGCCGAAGGCAGTCCCCCAACCAGCTGAGCCACCCAGGCGCCCCAAATTGCAGCTTTCTAACTGAGAATGTCTTCTTGGTCTGGAGGAACAGAGTTCTGGAGTAAAGTAGCAGGTTCCCTTTTTAGTAGACACCTCCTGTCTGCTGCTGGAACACATCAATTGTATCTTCATCCTCCATTTCCAACTGTGCAGGTGTGTCTGTTTCATTGATGGGCTGCCCATCAAATCGGAATCTGATCTGCCTCATTGACAAACCCTGTCGTTCACAATAGGCTTTCATTAGTTTACTAAGTGATGTATGCCTCTTAATCTTAAACTGCACCACAGAACCATCCTGTCCCACCACCTTCAAAATAATATGATCGTTGTTCTCAGTCTTGACTCCTTCCTTGGGCTTTTTGTCGGCCATGCCTAGTGCCGGAGTCTCCTCAGCTGCCGCTTCGCAGAAGAGGTACCAGGTCCGCACCGAACAAGCACACAAGCAGCGCAAGGAGTGGCGGAAGAAGGAGGCGGCAGCAGTGGAGGAGGGAGAGTTTCCTTCACCTTTTGGCATAGAACAAAGCTATTAAGTAAAATTCTGAGTTTAATAAAAAGCTAAATGATTTTTAAAGTACAGCAAAATTTTGTTTTTAGATGACTATACTAAGGCAAAAACAAAAATGTGTTAATTAGAAAAATGAAAATTGGCTGTTACTTTAAGAATTTTCTTTTTATAAAAAGATAGACTTAAATAATGGGAAACACAACAGAATTTTCTTTGTCCTTTTAACTCTTCACTTTAGAAAAACAGTCTGTGGGAAACTTAACCAAAATATTATGTGAAAAATTGTAATTATCATATATATTTTCGTTGATTATCTCCTACTTCACAAAACTGATATTTCCATGCAAGTAGTACACCTAAAGGAATTATCTGCACTCTATAGTCTCCTCTCAGCCTTCTGCTTGGCTATTTCAGATATGTAACCATTATCTTAGTCTAATAATGGTTTTAATTGGATTTTTGGGTCAAAGGAAACACTTAAGCTAGACTTATGCTGACAAAACGTTATTAATGGAGACATAAGATGATTACAGTGAATTAAAGGAAATAACTTCTATATTCAGTGTAAACTCTCTCTTGTCATTCACAGCCTTCCCAGTTATTAACTCAGCCTACCTTTTCAGCTTCACCTCTTTTCACCTCCAAAGAAATTATATCATTCTGCCAAACTGGATACTTCCTTAATCAGCTATCATATCTGTGATTGTAATTTGATGCCTAGAGTAAGATGCAATTAACAAATGAGCTATTTGGCAAGGAATTCTCATTCCTAAGATCCCCACTTGAATTTATTACTCTCTGTGCTCTCTCTGAGCATGTCATCTACCCCTAATGGTGTCAATTCCCGATCTTTGTCAAAGATCTGGCTCTGATTGCCTTCCCAGCTGCCGAGTCATAGTTTCTGACTTTATATAGAACATTTCCCTAAAAATGTCCTCCTGGCGCCTAAAACTCCGCATACCCTGAGACAGAATTCAGTATCTTCTATAGGCATTTCCACCCCTTTCCCAATTGGGGAATCATCTAATCAATACTCATTCCTGAAATCCAGAAACCTGTTGATATAAAATACATTGATATCAAGTCCAGGTGTCTTTCTGTATTCATTCCTTTGTATTTCCAGTAATGATTCTATTTTTCTCGTTACCTCTAACCTAAAATCTTGCAGCTGATGCCTGACCTCTAACCTCTTCCCAACCCATTCTCTCCATCACTATCAGGATTATTTTTCTAAAGTATAGATTGGAGGGGCGCCTGAGTGGCTCAGTTGGTTGAGCGTCGGACTCTTGGTTTCTGCTCAGGTCATGATCTCATGACGTGGGGCTCTGCTAGGTGGGGAGTCTGCTTGGGGATTCTCTCCCTCTGCCCCTCACCCCACACGCACACGTGCTGTCTCTGTCTCCCTCTAAAATAAATAAATAAATCTTTTAAAAAATTAAGATCTAGATTGGGGGCGCCTGGATGGCTCAGGTGGTTGGGCATCTGCCTTCCGCTCGGGTCATGGTCCCAAGGCTCTGGGATCGAGCCCTGCGTTCTTGGGTCATGGGGAGCCTGGGTGGCTCAGTCAGTTAAGCGCCTGACTCTTGATTTTGGCTCAGGTCATGATCTCAGTGTCCTGGGATTGAGCCCCAGAGTTGGGCTCATGCTCAGCAGGGAGTCTGCTTGAGGATTTCCCTTTCCCTCTGCCCCTCCCCCCATTCATGCTCTCTCTCTCTCTCTCTTTCTCTAAAGTAAATCTTTTTTAAAAATTTAAGTTCTTGGATAACAATTCTTGGCCCTCCACAGGAGCCCTTCAGCTCCTGTCCTGCATTTTTCGACTTCTCAGCACTTACCCAAACCCCAGCCACACCTAATTGCTCTCCATTCTTTTCCTGGTACTACTCTCCCTTGCCTGTGGAAATCTGACTTACCTTCCAGGGCCTAATGTGAATGCTATTTCTTAAGCAGTCTTGCTCCATTCCCACAGTGCCCCATGAGCATTAACCATTTGCTCTTAACCCCCCCTATAGCAGCATTTATGGGAGCTGTTTGTCTAGTTCCTGTGTGAGTGAGTAGTCACTGCCCACTAGAAGGTGAGCTTCTCATAGGCAGGATGTGTCTCCCTCAGTTCTCTATTTCCTAGTATTTACTATGGCCTCCATTTGCTCTTAGAGGTGTTCTTATTCTTTGCTGTTTCATATCTTTTGTATCTTAAGCATTCTCTCCTTTAACAATTGTTTTCTTTTCCTTTGAAATGTATTCTGAGTAAAATTTCTCTTTATATCTGGATTAATTCCACTGTTTAAAAAGTGTTCTCCCTTTGTGGATGAAAGCTTTTGCTTGTGCATGAGAGGAAATACTCATTTCCTTGTAGAAATAACTACCTAATATGAATTAAACTAGGTTTCAAATATACCTGTGGTAGGTTATTCTGGTTTTAGCCTGATTCTAATCCCAAATATGACTCTTCCTTTTATATAACTTGTTCTTTTTTTTTTTTTTAAGATTGATTTTATTTATTTGAGAGAGAGAATGAGACAGAGAGAGAGAGCACGAGATGGGGGAGGGTCAGAGGGAGAAGCAGGCTCCCCGCCGAGCAGGGAGCCCGGATGTGGGACTCGATCCCAGGACTCCAGGATCATGACCTGAGCCGAAGGCAGTTGCTTAACCAACTGAGCCACCCAGGCGCCCTATAACTTGTTCTTTATAAGTAAATTACTTATGTATACTAAGGCCTTTTTTCCCCACAGCTTTATTGAACAGCTTATATGCTTTTTTTTTTTTTTTTTTAAGATTTTATTTTTTGAGAGAGACAGCGAGAGAGGGAACACAAGCAGGGGGAGTGGGAGAGGGAGGAAGCAGGCTTCCCAGGGAGCAGGCAGTCCGATGCGGGGCTTGATCCCAGGACCCTGGGATCATGACCTGAGCTGAAGGCAGACGCTTAACGACTGAGCCACCTAGGCGCCCCCAGCTTATATGCTTTTTGAATCTCTTTTTTCCCCTAAAGAGATTTCAGCAGTGAAGCTTTGCGTGGTATCTTTTTCCCATAGAAAAGCAAACAGGTGCTTGAAAGGTTACACTCTGTTCTGGGGGAAATCTGATTAATGTTGAAGGGCTGTGTCAGGTCAGACTCTATAACCTGCTGACAGATTATTTAGTGAGTGCCAGGATCAACTCTCAACGTTATCTCAGATTTTAATGGTTTTCTTGTGAAGGGCATTTGTAGATGAAACCACTTTGTAATTTAAAATTAATTGTGGCTCTTAGATCAGAGACTGGTTAAAGAGAAATTCTTTTCTCAAGCAGGCAGTAATTTGGAAAGAATGAATGATTCATCAGATGGAATTGCAAGGATTATAATTGCATTCTGTATTTTAACACAAATTGTTGCATTTAAAATAATGGTGAGGGCAAGTTGCTTGGCTGGCTCAGTTGGTGGAGCATGCAGCTCTTGGTTGTGAGTTCAAGCCCCACGTTGGGTATAGAAATTACTTAAAAATTAAATCTTTAAAAAATAAAATAAATTGGGGCACTTGGGTGGCTCAGTCGTTAAGCGTCTGCCTTCGGCTCAGGTCATGATCCCGGGGTCCTGGGATCGAGCCCCACATCAGGCTCCCTGCTCAGCGGGAAGCCTGCTTCTCCCTCTCCTACTCCCCCTGCTTGTGTTCCCTCTCTCGCTGTCTCTCTCAGTTGAAATAAATAAAATCTTTAAAAAAATAAAATAAATAGGGGCGCCTGGGTGGCTCAGTCGTTAAGCGTCTGCCTTCGGCTCAGGTCGTGGTCCCGGGGTCCTGGGATCGAGCCCCGCATCGGGCTCCCTTGCTCGGCGGGAGGCCTGCTTCTCCCTCTCCCACTCCCCCTGCTTGTGTTCCCTCTCTTGCTGTGTCTGTCTCTGTCAAATAAATAAATAAAATCTTTAAAAAAATAAAAAAATAAAAAAATAAATAAAATGATGGTGAAATCTTACCCCTAATAAAATTTATCAAAAGAAGTTCCTATTAAACTATCTTAAATTCTCTTAAGAATTTCCAGATATCCTCAAAATGCTTGAAAAACAGAAAAAAAGTAATACTTCTTCCTGGTAGGGTAGACCTCAGTCATCCTTTATTCTTCTCTCTCCCCACCACTGCTACACCCCTATCCAGTATACCAGTAAGTCCTTCTGTTTCATTGGATCTCAAACCCCTGCATTCTGAATGCACTGCCACCATTTCACAACCAAGCTACTAAGATAGACTCCTGACTCATCCCCTTTTTCTGCTCTTGCTCTCCACGTAGCAGAAGAATCTTTTTTCTTTCTTATTATCATTAGTTCTATTTAAACTTTGTGTAATGGAAAATTTCAAATATGTATTAGAGAGATGAGCGTACTTCTCATTCCACTTCAGTTATCCATTCATAGCCAATCTTGTTTCATCCATTCCTCCATCAGTCCTCCCCCCTATTTTGCAATAAATCCCAGATATCATATCATTTTTTAAAAAGATTTATTTATTTTAGAACAAGAGTGCAAGTGCATGGTGTTGGGGGGGTTGTTGCAGAGGGAGAGGGAGAAAAAGCAGACTCCGCTCTGAGCACAGAGCCCCACTCAGGGCTCAGTTTCACTACCATCAGATCACAACCTGAGCTGATACCAAGAGTGGGGTGCTTAATCAACTGTGCCACCCAGGTGCCCCCAGACATCATATCATTTAATCAACTGATTTGGAACTGCCCCATAGTGAAATTTTGCTTACTGGTTGGTCACAAAAGGTAGGGAAAGTTGCTGCCCCAATAGTGATGTTGTTTGTCACCTTCTTTATACTCTCTTTCAGTTATGTTTCCTCTCATGTTTTTCAGAATGTATTCCATTTCTGTTGAGAAATGCCATCACCAGAAAACAGTTTCATGTGTTCATTTCATGTT